GGAAACTCTGTCAAATCTTCTGGGTTTGGCAGCTGAAGATAGGTCCTCCTCTGGGACTTCTGTCCCCTCAACGACCATGGAGAAACCTAGGACTGCCTAGGTAACTGGAAAGATGTCTCCTTACTTATCCTTCTCAGATCTCATGGCATTTGATGACTAGGGTTCTTATAAAGTGATAGAGCACCGACTACAAACAGTTTTGCAAAGTTCTTAAATTTCCATGGATTTTCTAGGTCCCTGCTTTTAGAGACGCTAGGGAGGGTAGGGAAGCCTGCAGGCGTGTTCATCTCTGTTCCTCCCTCATTCCTCAGTCTCCCTCCCTCCTCTTTCACTCCCTCAACTACCTCTGTTCAGTAAATTTCCCCTGGTTATAGTCTTAAAGGTATGTTTCATTGGGCTGAATCCAGGCCCTAGGAAAATGTTAATACCTCTTAACCCAAAGCCATAGCCTTTTGCTATGACGCCAAGATGTACATCTCTTCCAGCTGTCTTACAGACACCTGCAGGTACCGGAGAAAGAGTCCTACTACTGTATCAAGGAATCTGACATGGTGGATCAGTCCCTAGACAGGTCTACCCTTTCTGCCAAACTTGTGCAAGGCCAACCCACAGGGGCCATCCTGATATGCCAGCCCCTGCCTGAGTTAGGAGGTGAGTACTGGGTGAGTACTGACAGGTTGATTTCACCCACATGGTCATTTTAAACTCTGTGGTGATATTTTAATTGTGCTGAAATGTGCTTTTATTTGTACATTAATAAATAAAGTTTGCCTGGAGATCAGAGGTCACATAGCGAGGCCAAATAACCATAAGCAGAAATCAGGCTGTGGTAGCACACACCCTTAATCCCAGTCACATAGAAGGCAGAATCTCTGTGTGTTCAAAGACACACCCACGCTTGTTGACACGAGCCTTTAATCCCAGTAAGAACCATAGAGACCTGGAGGTCTGACTAGACAGGAAGTGACGAAGAAGTCATGTGGCTGGGCTTAGAGCCAATCAGAAGGTAGAACAGAAAGGCAATAAAAACACAGGTTAGGAGACCTTTTTGCCCAGAGTCGCTGTGGTTTCCTGCTTCAACAGTGCTTGAACAGAATCCGGTTGTCCACCGCTCTGACCACCGCTCTGACCGAGCCAGAACTCTTGCAACCTCTTCACTCCAGTATTGGCACCACGCCTTGCCCTGCCGCTGCCATGACCACTGCGTCTCCCTCCCTAGTGCGCCAGAACTACCACCAGGACTCAGAGGCCGCCATCAACCACCAGATCAACCTGGAACTATATGCCTCCTACGTCTATCTGTCTATGTCTTGCTACTTCGACCGGGATGATGTGGCTCTCAGCAACTTTGCCAGATACTTTCTCCACCAATCTCATGAGGAGAGGGAGCATGCTGAGCAACTGATGAAGCTACAGAACCAACGAGGTGGCCAAATCTTCCTGCAGGATATCAAGAAACCAGAGCACGATGACTGGGAGAACGGGCTGAATGCGATGGAGCGTGCACTGCACTTGGAGAAGAGTGTGAGTCAGTCACTCCTGGAACTGCACAAACTGGCTGCTGACAAGAATGACCCCCACTTGTGTGACTCCATTGAGACCCATCACCTGAATGAGCAGGCAAAATCCATCAAAGAACTGGGTGGCCACGTGACGACCCTCCGCAAGATGGGAGCCCCTGAAGCTGGCCTGGCAGAATATCTCTTTGACAAGCTCACCCTGGCACGCAGTGATGAGAGCTAAGCTGACTTCCCCAAAGCCACAGGTGACTTTACTGGTCACTGAGGCCGTGCATGCATGTCGGGCTGCCTTTCCTTTTCTATAATTCCTACCAAAACGTCTGCTTCAGTTGTTTAATTTGTAACATTTCTTCAAATAAAGAATTTTGGTACCAAAAAAATCAGAGGTTAGATGGGAAGAAGCTCTCTCTGGGGAATTAACGGCGGCGAGGTGGTAAAATAAAGTAGTTGTGGCTCTTCGCTAGTTCTCTGATCTCTTTGGCTATTGTCTCTGTATTTGGCTCTGTGTTTCTTATTTAGTAAGACTGCTTAGAAATTCATCTAAAAAGCTCCATTATATCTTAATTCTTATTGACACCTTTATGAGATGGTTGTACTTCCTACCTCCAGGAAAACAGCAGAGGTGATGGATCAGGCATTCCCAAACACAGCATCCCCTGATTTGGAATGCCATCTCCCCAAGCTCCTGGATCATCAGTGCTGGTACCACCTCTCCAGACTTCATAGCCTATCTACTCTTACTTCTGGCTCATTCACCCATGCCTCTTCTGTCCAACAGGGCACATCTCCATTTCATTCCATAGGGCTGTTGTTAATAATCTATTTTTTTCTCCTAGCAACTTGCCTTCTCAGCCTCCTCAAGGAACAGGTGCCTGAGGTCTCCAGGGTGGCAGTTAACCAAATCCTTCTTCACCCACACATCCTGTTGAGTGGGACCCCACCCACTCCTGACTTCCTCCCCACATCATCCCATGTCATCAGGATGAGGCCAGACTTGATCTGGTGCCGATATACCCAAGGAATCTGGCATGTTTAGGTGGAAGCCCCATCTTGGCCACACCTCTCTCTGTCCCCAGATCCTGCCCCTGAGAATGTCCACCCAGCAGCAGCTCAACCTCTAGAGGGTACTTAAGGTCTGGCCCACAGACTTCCCCTTGTGGTTCCCCTCATGGCTTCTCTTTTTTTCCTGGGACCATCCAGGAATGTTTTCCTCAGATTAACCCAGGACTTATGAATTTGGCTTGATATGATTTACTACATCAGTGGAAAGGCTTAATATCAGGGTACAGAAACTTCTCATCCATGCCCTATGCCCAGACTCTGAGTTGAGGTATGAACTAGGCACACATCATCCTTGTCCTCACAGCAGCTGTAGGAAGATCATCATACTGACTGGAACACAATTCATGGGTGTGGTGAGCTCTATGGACAGAGTTGCAGCATTTATGGGAGACAATCCCAATAATAATCCTGTGAGGGAGTTCCCACCCAAGCCTTAGATTATAAATTGGTGTTAGCCAATTTAGAGACATTCAGAGAGTGGGACAGGATGAGAACCAAACCATGTGCTGGGATGGTCTAGAAGCAAGAAAAGGCTGAGGAAGTTGTGTCAAGCAGTTCTGGGGGTTCTGGGAAAAAAGGGGGTGGTGGTGAAGAATCCAGGACCAGAAAGTGATGATCCCAAATGCAGTGGGACTTAGAACCTAATCCCAGATATAGTGGTGACTGTTCATGAATATCAAACTGCAAGTCTGGGCCATAGAATGTTCACCTAGTGTGCTAAAAGCCTCAGATTAGATCCTTAACCATCATAAAACCAGGGATGGTAGAGCATGACTGTTGTCTGAGCACTCAAGAGGAAGAGGCAGGAGAACCAGAGTTCAAGGTCATCCTTGGATATGTCTCAGCTGCCTGAGATCCTGTGTCTCTCTGCCTTCTCCCTTTAAAAAACTGGGGCTGGGATGATGGTTCATCAGGTAACATGCCTTCTGTACAAACATGGAGGACCAAATACCACCCAGAACCCATGTGCAATGCCATGTGGTGTGGTAACCTGCCTGGAATCCCCGCACATGGGGTGTGGAGACAGGCCATCACTAGAGCAAACTGACTAGACAGACAAAACAAAATAGTGATTTTTGTGTTTCTGTGCCCAGTGCATAAGTTAAGGTTGCTTGCATTAACATGCATGGGTGGATGTTGCTCACTTGAGCAATTGCAATTACCAATGGCTTCACCACTGAGGAATGCAACTCCTCTCCTCCTTTCCCCTCCCCAGTAGCCATTAACTGCCTATTGCTCCTCTGGGAGAGGTGGGGCCTCACACATGCCTCCCTCACCCAGAATGAAATGCTCATGGGTCCATTCTTGAGCAGGAAGATCTGGCTGCTGAGAATTTATGGGTGCAGCAGCCATGTTGTGTCCAGAAGGCCAAATTTCATAGCTCCCATGCCCTTCCCATCCTCTTCATAGTACATACACTTCCAATGCTTGTGGGACACCAAATATCTCATCTGCAATACAACGTGGTCTGGAGTTAGACCCTGATATAGCTATGAACTGAATCGATATTAAATGTCTTGGATATGCTTAAAACAAGAATAAATTAAAAGAGTAAGACTCTCGATCAGTTGCCATAAAAAGTTTGTTCAAGGATGGAGGGACACACTGCATGGATCTACAACAGGGAGACAAGTTCTCCTTCTTAAAGGTAAAACATGTCTTGTGAGTCCCTCACTCCACTCTGCACAGGCTAAGGCTTGAGTGACGTCATTAGAGGGAAGCTGAAAGGCAGGAGCGGGAACCACAAGGGCTGCCCCAGAATTGTCCAGATTATCCAGCGTTGTTCTGCTAGGCCCAGGTTCCATTCTGAACACAGCACAGCTTACCCCCTTCTGTACCTCGAGTTCCAGGGGATCTGGTGCCCTCTTCTGGCTTTTTAGGGCACTGATGCAGGTGGTGACGTGTGGAGGGAAAAGATCCACATATATGAAACAAAATTGAAAAACAAAAACAAAATGCTGTAGTTTTTGGAGCTGAACATAAAGAATTTTAAAATAAAAATAAACTATTTTAATATAAATATTTAAAATAAAGTATGCTGTTTCTAGTGCCCCTCAAACTGTCTCAATAGAATAGTGTAGAGAGAGAGGGACAAATAGAAAGGAAGTGATGGCATCAAAATGCCAGAACAACACACGGGGATCTGGCTGTCACTGTAGCAATGTCTTCCAGTCTACGTGAAGTGTGTAGATGACGGAGTAAGCAATGTCTATGTGTGGGTGCGGATGTAGGCACATGCTATGTGCCGGTGAAGATGTAGGTGCTCGTTAAGCTTAGGTGATGGATATAGACCCTATCAACAGTATCATGTTGTTTTTCCCAATATATAAACAATTTACCCCAGAACACCATATGAGAGTAAACACACACAAGTTTTGTGCATTGAAATCATGTAATGGCTATTTGTGGTTTTTCACAATGTGCTTAGTTTTGCTCATTTGTCTCAGAGTTAGTTGATATGCATGGAGCTACTTTAAGAAAGTTAAGAGTTAGCACAATCACTAATCTGTCCTGAATACTTCGTGGTCAACTAGAGGCCATTCTCTCAAGGCTTAACAAAGACTGACAGGTGAGTTGAGAATTTACCTTTTATTTTTTTTTAGATTTATTTATTTATTATGCACAGTGTTCTGCCTACATATATGCTTGCAGGCCAGAAGAGGGCACCAGATCTCATAGCCACCGTTGTGGTTGCTGGGAATTGAACTCGGGACCTCTGGAAGTGCAACCAGGGCTCTTAACCACTGAGCCATCTCTCCAGCCCGAGAATTTACTTTTTATGCAGTGTAAAAGGGCCCGCTCTAAGAAGATATTACCTGAGAGGTCACATGCTGTAGGATGTCCTGTATGTTGTGAATATATGTGGCTGTGATTGATTGATAAATAAAACACTGATTGTACAGTAACCAGGCAGGAAGTATAGGTGGGACTAGCAGAGAGAAAAACTGGGGGAAGAGTAAGGCAGAGTGGAGGAGATGCTGCCAGCTGCCACGATGAGGAGCAAGATGTCAAGTACCGGCAAGGCACAAGCCATGGCATAGATTAGTAGAAATGGGTAAATTTAAGATAAAAGAACTAGATAACAAGAAGCCTACCACGACCATACAGTTTGTAAACAATATAAGTCTCTGTGTGTTTAGTCGGTTGGGTCTGAGCAGCTGCAGAACTGGCAGGTGAGAGAGATTTGTCCTGACCGTGGGCCAGGCAGGACTAGAGAAATCTTCGGCTACAGTCACATGTTTCATGACAAGTTTCTGAGTTGAGAAGTCTCACTCTATCCACTCAGAATCTTGTTCTAACCATAAATCCTGAAAAACCCACCTTGCCCCACACAGTGGCTGTTCTTTACTGTCTGGGTGCTGAGCCCACACAAGGCCAGGGAGCTAACACAGCTGCCATTTTATCCAAGATCTACTGTCTCCTTACATATCTGCTGTATGTCTATCCAACCTTGGTGGAGATGAAGATTAATTCTGGTGAAACTTAATGTGAATTACTTCATAGGTCAAGAGCTGATGTACAGAGACGTGTGTGACACTCAATGCTAGATCACTGTCACCAGCATCTGTCCCATTGGCTAACTGAAAAATGGAGGCTTTCCATAAAACAGCGAACACATTAGTCAGCATTAAGCCTCTTAGGAAACAGTCTCCATGTTGCTCCTGTTTCTGATAAAAGCCTGCTTGTCTGGAGGGGAAGCTGAGGAAATGTGACCTTTCCCATAACTACTTCTATGGCGAGAAAGAGACAGGGTGAGCTGAGGTGGAGGCACAGGGCGGTTTGACTCCACAGTTTTAATGTACTCAGAGACATCTTTGTGTTGACAGTGTCTTGTCCAAGCTGACCTGTGGAGGAGAGTGAGATGGGAGAAATGGTTAGAACTGTGTCCTCTGTCATACACATTCTCAAACCTGTGAGGGGAAATAGTGTAACAGTGACAATAATGGAGTTTGTGTTCTGGGCCAAGATCTAGTGTGAAACCCAGGCTACAGCTGCACCCAGAAGCTGCTACTGATTGTTGGAGCTGTGTCTACAAGGCTGTTTGATCCTCTCCAAACCCTGGGCAGAGCACTGCATGCTCAATGTTACTGTGACATCACGTGCACAAAACAATTAACTGATGATACAAATAGTCTGGGGGCCTGAGAAGGAAGCAGTCGTGTGTGGGAATTCTCGCAATCTGGAGAAATTCTCTAAACCTAATGATGGAGTGAAAGGCCCCAGCTGTACCCACAGTGCTTAGAATAACACTCGGGTCTTAGAAAGACTCACCACACTTATCAACAGAACCAGCAGTTCCCATTCCAGAGTTCCAACATACCATATTTTCATATCTTCTGGACTCTTCACAACTGTCTTTGCACATTGTATGGCTTGAGTGATGTCATCCTGGAGCAAAGCTGAAAGACAGGGGTGAGGAAGGACAAGGACTGTTACAGAAGCCATTTTCAGTTCAGATCTAGTCAGCTTTCTTCTGTGACGCTGAGCAGTGCATGCAGGAAATTATTTTTCAAGTGTCCCTGCATCTGTGATTATTGCAGACAGCCTCTCTTGATTCTATGCAGGTGACATGGTGTAAGTCATTTTATTTCTCATTTATAAAGTCCCTGGGAGTTGGGATATACTTGAGTGTAGAGTGTTCTTAGGATTCCAGCACAGATTAAAAAGTAAAGAACACATTGAAGTCATGAGGGGTCACTGGAGGCTATGGGGCTGTCAGCTACAATGAGGGAAGTTCCTCTTTGTTATCACACTGGGAAATAAAACATTCTGGGACTGTCACCTGTGTCTACCAGTGGAATTTATCCTAAAGAAAATCAGGAGCTACACAGATAGCTCAGTGGCTAAGAGCACTGGATGCTCTTCCAGAGGACACATGCCAGCTCTCAACTATCGATATCTCCAGTTATCAGATCAAGCCCTCTTCTCAATCAACAGATACTAGTCATACAAGTCCAATATGCAGGCAAAACACCCACACACAGAAAGATAAATGAATACTTGAAAGAACACAATGCACAAGCCTTGTAGGAATAAAGGTCTTTTAACAGTTCATAATCAGTAAAATGGAAGCACCCAGGTGCTTTAAGACTCAAGAATTGTATTTTCAACATACAGAGTATTGCTACTGCAATTATATTCATTCTTTAAAATGATAATTCAGGTCATTATTTGTTGCTATGAATAATGTTTTAAATAATAACTATATCATGAATCTGTGTAAGTATAATTTAATTTGTATAAAAATGTAAAATCTATATATGTTGTAAAGTGAGTACGTATATGTGAATGACATAACTTTATATGGGCCTACAGCATAGATTCACAGTCTAGAAGAGTATATGCCAAAGGTTCCCAGTTACATCAACTCTCTGAGCACTCAAATTGGGAGTGATGTTCCTTTTGGCTTGTAGTTTCTAATACCTTTCAATGACTGTAGATGGGTGTACAAAACACTTTTAAAGATAGGCTAAGTAAGTTACAAAGAATGTTCCACAATCTTTTTCTCTGGAAAATTTTAACAACTAAATTTAACAAATTAGGAATCAGTAGTTCACTGTTTGGAGGGCTTGACTAAAATGTAGCAAGTCTTGCGTTCAATTACTACACTGGAAAAATAGAACAACATTGATCAATTTAATGCATGCATTAAAAATTATATATTACTTCCATCATGGCATGTGTTCAAGTCCTACCATCCCAGGCTTCAATCCTGATATGAACCTTGTTTGTTTCTTGTTAAAAATAAGTTTCATCTTAAATACATAAATCTATGTTATTTTGTTAGATGAGATAACATCTGTGGAATATTCCTTCACACTGTGTGAATATATGTCACTATGATTGGTTTAATAAAGAAGCTGACTGGCCAATAGCTAGACAGGATAAAGGTTAGGTGGGAGAAACAGACTAAGGATGCTGGGAAGAAGAAGGGCAGAGTCAGAGGAGTTTCCAGCCAGACACAGATAGGAAACAGGAGGTGCAAGATGAAAGAGAGGTAATGCCACATGGTAGAATGTACATTTATGGAATGAGTTGATTGAAGTTGTAAGAGTTAACTGGTAACAAGCCTGAGCTACTTACTGGCTGAGTATTTATAATTAATTTTAAGTCTCTGTGCATTTATAGTGGAGCTGGTAGTCCCAACAGAAACTATGCCTACAAATGTTCATCTAAGAATTAGATTTATTGAACATATATACTAAAGAGTTTATAAACAATTTTTTTAAAGATTTATTTATTTATTATGTATACTGCCTGTATGACCAGAAGAGGGCACCAGACCTTATTACAGATGGTTGTGAGCCACCATGTGGTTGCTGGGAATTGAACTCAGGACCTCTGGAAGAGTAGTTGTGCTCTTAACCTCTAAGTCAGGCACATGCCTTTAATCCCAGCAGTTCGGAGGCAGAGCCAGGCAGATCTCTGTGAGTTCAAGGCCAGCCTGGGCTACAGAATGAGTTCTAGGACAGCTGGGGCTACACAGAGAAACCCGGTCTTGAAAAAAAAAAAAGAAACAAAATTTTCACTCTAAAATCTCTTAACACATAGAGTACATCAATACACACACATAGAAGTCAGTTGGAGAAAATGCTAGTGACTTAGTGGTACCCTGTCATGTGGTGTTTATTATAGTAATATCTTCATTTGTATATGTTAGAAATCTTTATGATAAAATTTATTCAGTTAAAAATATCCCTATTTAAATGGTTAGAATTGAAATCTTCAGGACAAATCACCAATAAGGCCACATGTAATTAGTTCGTAGATTATTACAGAAACTTTCTTTCATTTTTTGTTATATTTATTTATTAATTTTTTCTTATTTGAGACAAAGTTACTATGGGTATCCCTGACTCTCCTGGGATCTTGCTATGTAGGTCAGGCTATGGTGATATTTTATTTTTATTGAAATGCGATTTTATTCGTATATTAATAAATAAAGTTGCGTGGGGGTCAGTGCTAATAGCAAGCCATAGCAGAAGCTGGGTGGTGGTGGTGCATGCCTTTATTCCCAGCACTTGGGAGGCAGAGCTAGGCAGATCTCTGTGTGTTCGAGGATACAGCCAGCATGGAGACGCACACCTTTAATTTCAATACCAACCTTAGAAGACCTGGAGGTCTGTACAGACAGGCAGTGGATGAGGAGGTCATGTGGTTGGGTTTACAAGCAATGAGAAGGCAGAAAAGAAAGTCTATAAAAAAGACAGACAGGAAGTAACTCTCTTGCTGAGAAGGACAGAAGTGGGTTTTTAGCTCTTAGCTATCGCTCTGACCTCTTGGGCTTTCATCTTTGCACTGGCTCTGTGTTTCTTATTTAACAAGACAGTTACATCTATACCAGACTGCTCTTGAACTTGGAGAGCTGCCTGCCTCTGCCTGTGGAGTACTGGGATTAAAAGTGTGTATCATCACTGCCTAGTCAAAGATCTCTTTATTTTCATTGTATGTATATGACTGTTTGCCTGCACGTGTGTCTGATCATTACATGCATACCTGGAACCCACAGAGGCCAGGAAAGGATGCAAGATTCCCTAGAACTGGAGTTATAGATGATTATAAGTGGCCATATGGCTGCTGGGAACTGAAACCAGGGCCTCTGCAAGAGCATCATGTGCTCTTAACTGCTGAGCCATCTCTTCACTGTAACTGGCTTACAGATTAGTCTATCCTGATTGGCCAGTGAGCCCCATGGATCTGCCTCTCTCAGACTCCTCAGTGCTGGACCTACAAATGCATGTCACCAAACTCAGATTTTATGTGGGTGCTGAGGGTCAAACCCTAGGAGACTCTTCTGTCTGAGCTACCTGGCCAGCCTCTGGCCTTATGCTCCTTAAGCCTGAAAGCAGCCTCCTTGGTCTTCTTATAACCTTCAACCTTGTCTCCAACAACCTAAGGCAGTTCAGGGACTCCTTCAATACAAGGACCTTTAGACCTCATCCAAGGTGGGCAGACTGAGGCAGTCAGCCAAGGAAGAGCAGAGGGCATTTCGCTTTGAGGTGATGTTCATTCTATGGTGCAAAAGGCCAAGGTTTTGGTTGGTGAAAATGTAGGAACTCTCAACACATATTTCTAAAGACATCCTGGCCAGAAAGGTGGATCCCACCAACTCTGGGAGTTTGGTCTATGTCTCTGCCAATACCCTACAAGGTCTGATAATTGGTAATTCTCGACATCATAGGGCTGCCTGTTGTTTTTGCACAAGTTGATGTGAGCAGAATTCACAATATCTGGTCCGATGGGAGCCGGCAAGGGCACACCAAGAATCTGATGTCTGTGGTGGTTTGAAAGAAAATGGCCCCCAAAGGGAGTCACACTATTAGGAGGTGTTGCCTTGTTGGAGGAATTGTGTCACTGTGGGGGTGGGCTTTGAGGTCTCTTTTTCTGAAGTGTCCCTCAGTGTGACAGCCAGTTGACTTCCTGTTGCCTGCAAGCTGTAGGACTCTCAGCTCCAGCACCATGTCTGCCTGCACGCCGCCATGTTCCCGTCATGATGATATTGGACTGATCCTCTGGAACTGTAAGCAATCCACTCTCAATTACATGTTTTCTTTGTAAGAGTTGCCATGGTCATGGTGTCTCTTCACAATGATAGTAACCCTAACTAAGACAACATCATATCCAGTCAGGGAACCTGTATCATCTACCGTGAAGACAGTAGTATCAACAAGACCTTCAGAAGCATCCCTGATATTACTGTTCAAAGTGTGCAAGCTGGACATTTGAAAGCTGCTCTTGGTGAGCATGTGGGAGGTTTGGACATATGTAATCAAAGTTTCTGGTGAGTTGTTGGCACTTAAGTGTAAGGCTGCTTCCCTCAAGAGTAAGCATAATTTTCCCAGAAGTGTAAAACATTTCAGAGAACCCCTGTCTTAGTTAGGGTTCTGTTGTTATAGAGTTATAAAGAAAACATTTACTTTGAGGGGGCTCACAGTTTCAGAGGCTCAGTCCATTATTTTGGCAGGCAGACATGGTACTGGAGGAGTACCTGAGAGTCTTACATTTTGGAGGCAACAGGAAATCAACTTGAGACACTCACTGGATGGTATCCTGAGTATAAGATTTCTCAAAGCTCATGCCCACATTGACACAGTTCCTCTAACAAGGCCATACTACCTCCAAAAAAGTCACACCACCTAATAGTGACACTCCTTATGAGATTACGGAGGCCAGTTGAATTCAAACTACCACAACCTCACTTCAGCAGCAAGTAGGGGGAAACAGGATCCCTCTGCCCTGCATAGGAAGTTCAAAAGGTTTGAAAGGTTTTCTCTCTAAAGGTCCATACCATGGTCAGAGAAATGAAGACAGATCCCAGTCACCCCAGGCTCTCAGAACTCAAGTTCTGAATGAGTGAGTCCTCCCATCTTTTCTTATCCCCTGTGGGCTAAAACCTAGTGACTCTCTATGAACACCTCAGGTCCTATTGCCTTAGCCTGGGAAGATGTCCTCTCCCATGCCCTTACTTCAGTATCTCTGATGGAAAAGATGAACGCTGATGTTTTGAATCAAACCGAGTCAAACAGGCAGGAATTCTAAAAACTATTGACCCCAGCTCCCTCTCTGCTCACTGATTGCTTCCTTGTTCCTGTTCTACAAAGAGAGATTATCTAGAGGCCTCAAGAACAAGAGACTTACAGTTTGCCAGGCTGATTCCCAAGTAGCCATCCATTCCATGGCTTTTCAGAGTTCTGGCGAACTCACAGCGTTCATAGACCTTGGCCTGGACAGTGACAGAAAGCAGGAAGAGCCCCAGGGTGAGGAGAGCCTTCATGTTGACATAGTTCCGGATCAGCTGCAGGCTGAGTAGAAAAAGCAAGCCTGATATTTAAGCATCCTCCAAGTTCCTTCTTTCTCTGGCAGCTGGGGCCTCCAATCTTTGAGCTGTGAGTAAAGGAGGAAGTTCCTGCAGTTCTGATTTCTGCATTTCACCCTCTTTTTCCACAAGATTGATGAGAGATGTTCTGGTGGTCCAGCAATAAGTGTACAGTACTTATTTTAAAGTACTTAACTTTGTGGCTTGTTAAGAACGGGGATGTAGCTGTTTCTAAAAGAGGATTGTTCTCCCCTTTAATAATGAAGTTTAACAACCAAAAGAAAAAAAAAACAGAACTAATATTTACAGTTAAAACCAGCAACTACTTTTCACCCACACTCCTTCATATCAAATTGTTCTGTGTGCATCCACCATTTTGCATTGATTTGTTGTTGTTGTTGTTGTTTTTTTGAGACAGGGTTTCTCTGTGTAGCTTTACGCCTTTCCTGGATCTTGCTCTGTAGCCCAGGCCGGCCTTGAACTCACAAAGATCCTCCTGGCTCTGCCTCCCAACTGCTGGGATTAAAGGCGTGAGCCACCACCGCCCGGCTTTGCATTGATTTTTAATTGAATCACTTCATGTGTGTTTCCCCCAAAAGGACCTGCTGCATGTCCTTGCTCTCTAGAAGGCTGGGTCCCATGGTATCACATTGCTTAGCCAGTGTCTCCTCTAGAGTGTTTTCATTGCTATTGTTCTATTTGTATTTCTGTTATCACTGAGACTCCTGTGGACATCATTCCTAGCTCCTTTACACCATGCCTTGCCTCTCCTCTCCATGTTAAAACATAAAGGGTCACCATAGAGCAATAGGACTTCAAAACTAAAACTGAACCAAACACATAAATCTAACTATGTGCAACCTTTAAAAGTGATCATCTCAGGAGGCTGGGGGTGTTTTTCAAATAAAGTTTTCCTTTGCTGATACAGAGGAGACGACAAATGGAATGCTTTTCTATGTGTAATTATTATTTTTATTTTATGAGTACAGGCATTTTAGCTTGCATGTATGTTTGTGTACCCCATGTGTGCCTGATCTTATGGGGGCCAGGAAAGGGTGTGAGATCCCTGGAGTGGAGTTACAGTTGTGAGCTACCATGTGGTGCTGGGAAGCTGTGTCCTCTGGAAGAGCAGCCAGTGCTCTGAACTGTCTGGTCATCTCTTTAGGCTCTCCAGGGTGTCTTGAGACAGGATTCACTCTGAAGCGCAGGCTGCCAGAAGCCATCCCCGGCAGTGGGCAGGTCCCAGCAGAGGATGGAAGGAGTCAGCAGGGCAAGGAATGAGCCAGATATGATGGTCAAGGGAATTTTGCAGCCTGATTTATTAGCAGCCAGAGTGCTATTTTACTCATACAGAATTTAGTAAGCAGGGATAGATTCATGTTCCAAAACATAGATAATATCAGTTTAGTTTTTGGACATGTGTTTCACTTCCTCTTGCTCATATTTTAGTCATCATTAATAAAGTATGACAGAGCAGAGTTATCATTTCCAATCATTTTTCCTCAAGTTTTGACATCATTGATGGACAGAGGTATCATTTTTACTCATTAACCCATAACCCAAGTTTTAAGAATCTAGAGGCATAAGAAAGCCTGTTCTCAGGCTGGTGTTTTTGGTTGCTTCAAGGACACTAGACCAAAACAAAATCTTCAAGCCAGCCTGGGCACATTGCATGTCCCAAGCAGTGTACTATTGACTCTTAAAGGTCAGAGTGCCCAAGAAAACACCTCAGGTCAAAGCTTCTGCAGTTATTATTCAAATTCTGGCATAATACAAGGTTCATATTTTATATTTTTATAGAATTCGTTTATACGTCTGGCATTCTGTTGTCCTTTGGTCATAAGAAGACAGTGGCTCTGCATGTGCTGTCTTTTCTAAGAAAGGGAGGTCCTGACATCTCATTCTTTTTTTTCTCTTTTCATTTTTCTTTATTTAGAAATTTTCTACTCACTCTACATATCACCCACAGATGCTCCCTCCTTCCTCCTCCCACTCTCCAGCCCTCCCTCCCAAGCCACCCCATATCCCCACATCCCCCAAATCAAGGTCTCCCATGGGGAATCAGCAGAGTCTGGCACACTGAGCCTAGGCAGGTCCAAGCCCCTTCACTCTGCACCAAGGCTGTGCAAGGCGTCACGTCACAGGCACCGGGCTCCCTAGAGCCTGCCAATGCTCAATGGACGGATCCTGATCCCCTTGCCTGGGTGCCACCCAAAACAGTTCAAGCCAAATAACTATCTCCCATATCCAGAGGGCATAGTCCAGTCCCATGGGGGCTCCACAGCCACTGGGCTACAGTTCATGGGCTTCCACTAGTGTGGCCAGTCATCTCTGAATGTCTTCCCATCATGATCTCGATGTCCCCCACCTGCAGAATCCCTCCTCTCTCTCATCGATTGGATTTACTGAGCTCAGCTTGGTGCCTGGCCATGGATCTCTGCATCTGCCTCCATCAGTCACTGGTCAAAGGCTCTATGATGATGGTTAGGGTATTCACTAGACTGGTCACCAGAGCAGACCAGCCCAGGTACCCTCTAGACCACTGCCAGCACTCCAAGGTGGGATCATCCTTGTAGATTCCTGGGAGCCTCCCTGGCACCCTGCCTCTTCCTATTCCCATGAAGTCCTCATCTATCATGGTATCTCCCTCCCTGCCATCCCACTCTGTCCCTGTTCCAGCTCGACCCTCCCATTTCCCTATGTTCTCATGCCACACTCCTCACACTCTGCCACCACCACCCTCACTCCCAGTCTGCTCATGTAGATCTCATCCACTTCTCCATTGATGGGCCATTCATGTGTCCCTCCTAGGGTCTTTCCCTGTTAGCTAGCCTCTCTGGAGCTGTGGGTTGCAGTCTGGCCATCCCTTCCCTCACATCTAGTATCCCTTTATGAGTGAGTACATACTATGTTTGACCTCCTGAGTCTGGGTTACCTCACTCAGGATGATTTTTTTCTAGTTCCATCCATTTGCCTGCAAATTTCATGATGTCATTGTTTTTTACTGCTGAGTAGTACTCCATTGTGTATATGTACCACATTTTATATACCCATTCTTCAGTTGAGAGGTATCTAGGTTGTTTCCAGGTTTTTGCTATTATGAATAATGCTGCTTTGAACATTGTTGAGCATGTGTCCTTGTGGAAAGATTGAGCATTTTTTGGGTATATGCCCAAGAGTGGTATAACTGGGTCTTGAGGAAGACTTAGTCTCAATTTTCTGAGAAACTGCCATACTGATTTCCAGAGTGGCTATACAAGTTGGCATTCCCACCAACAGTGGAGGAGTGTTCACATTGCTCCACATCCTCTCCAACATAAGCTGCCTTCAGTGTTTTTTATCTTAGCCATTCTAACAGGTGTAAGATGCTATCTCAGAGATGTTTTGATTTGCATTTCCCTGATGACTAAGGATGTTGAACAATTCCTTAAATGTCTATCAGTCATTTGATATTCTTCTATTGAGAATTCTCTGTTAAGTGCTGTATGCCATTTTTTAATTGAATTGTTCAGTATATTGTAGTCTAGCTTTTTGAGTTCTTTATCTATTTTGGAGACCAGCCCTCTGTCAGATGTGGGATTGGTGAAGATCTTTTCCCATTCTGTAGGCTGTCATTATGTCTTATTGACCATGTCCTTTGCTCTACAAAAGCTTCTTAGCTTCAGAAGGTCCCATTTATTAATTGTCACTCTCAATGTCTGTGCTATTGGTGTTATATTTAGAAAGTGATCTCCTGTGCCAGTTCATTCCAGACTACTTCCTACTTTCTCTTCTATCAAGTTCAGTGTAACTGGATTTATGTTGAGGTCTTTGATCCACTTGGACTTGAGTTTTGTGTATGGTGACAGACACGGATCTATTTGTAATCTTCTGCATGTTGACAACCAGTTATGCCAGCAGCATTTGTTGAAGATGCTTTCTTTTCTTTTTCCGTGGTGCTGTTTTGGCTTCTTTGTCAAAAATCATATGTTCATAAGTATGTGGATTAATCTGACATCTCATTCTTTTATCGTCTTTTTACTTTCTACTTTGCTCATCAATATAAATCTCTGTATAGAGCAGAGGTAACTTCAGCTATTCTAACTTTATTGTTGTATATGTTATGTAATTGCCTGAGTGTGTACTGGAAAGAGGCTTGTGATCTGAACTGTGACCAACTCCTCTAGCCCATCGAATCTTGTTGACCTTTTAAAGGTTACTTTGCTTTGACTATCTTGTTCCTGAGTAAGTACAAGGACAGTTGTTTCAAAAATGTCTCACAGCCTTGCAAAGAGACCTCTGGTGTCCTTATTTGTGTAACAACCTCCAAGGCATAAGGAAGACCTTCAAATACATAAGGATATGCCCCTAGAAGCAGGGGGTGGTAGTATGTTCAGGACTTTCCTGGAGAAGCTTAGAAGCAATACTCCTGGGAGAAAGCATAAATGATTCATAAAAAATTTTCCATCAATCCAAAGTGTACAAATAGTAAAAGTCTCCCAAGTATGCAACAGGTGGAGACAAAAATCAAAGGTGGCATGGTGGCCACCATGTGGCTCACTTGCTGGATCTTTGTCAAACAGCTCAGCTGTCCTAATTAGATATGGCTGTGCCATCTAAAAGGACTGGCTTTAGCTCAGCAGTTACTTTGACGATGCTTGCTACCTACCATTCCATGGTTCCTGCCCTACCATCAACCACTCAGGAAGCCTGGGAGTGGTTGGTTCAAGATCCACAGGCACTCTCCAATTCTATACTGGAGCAAGACAAAAAGGCCAGTGACGCCAATGTTTAAGCTCACAGTAAAATGACCAGCCCTTTGAGAAGGGCCACACCTTCTAATCCTCCCCAAACAGACACGCTATAGGGAGCAAGTATTCAAATGACAGAAACTTATATAGGACAGTTCATTCAAACCACCATACAGTGTTTCTAAAGGAGGACATCTTTGCCTAGCTCCTCGGCAGAGACAGCCTCCCCCAACTTCATCTCTTA